CACTCAGCTGTTAACTCAGCCTCATGCTTAAGCCTCTGTTAGCTACACTCACAGTGCAAAAACTGTTAGATGGAAATGTATGATGACTTAATAATAATAATAATGATAGACAACATGGGTGTCACAATATACTGCATTTTAGATGTGGATATTTAAAATATAATGAGTAGCATGTTATGAACATACTATGGAAGAGGATAAGTACCAAATGTGAAATTAGTTTTGAGACCTTTAATCTCAGAATTCATATTTTTATCTCAGAATTATTTTTCTCAGAATATATTAAATTAGAATACTAAATTATTTCTCAAAATTATAACTTTAATGTCAGAACTCAAATGTTTTATTTTAGTTTTGGCCAGACCTAAAAAAACGTTTCACATGTGGAAGAGTATAGCTCTTCTGTAATTCTATAAATAATACAGTTCCTCTTAAATCGTGTAAGTGTATTTCAAGGTTCAAGGTTCTTTATTTGTCAAACGAACATAGCTACAGTGTAGTTATGTCGATGAAAATCTTGTGTCACAGGCTTCTCCAACAGAGCGACACAAAACACAGATAAACAGAAAAATATAGTGCAAGTAAATAGTAAATACATTTGCATTTTCATTCATTTAACAAAGTGACACATTAATTTGACTAAAGGAAAAACATTTTTAAATGTAATAGTGAGATAACTTTGTTATGGTAAATTGTTACAACCATGATTATCGTGGAGTGAAAATCTGATACCGTTGTAAAGCCATGACTCTACAGTCCGCGCTGGTGTTTCATCAGTCTTTCACCACACAGGTTGTGTGCAGGACATGGTGGTTTTTAGTGGCATTTAAAGTACATTTTGGTTATTACTCTTTTTTGGCTCTGTAATACTGTTACACTGCATGTTACGACGTCACATAATAAAGAGATTGTTAAATTATTATTCAAAGACAACAACCGTGTTTACGATCTTAATGCTTTACTCTCATCTGACACTTTGCGAGATTAAAGATATTTAATAGTGTGCCGTCTGAGCTCACTTGACAAATGAATGGGTTTAGTTGCGGTGGAACAGCTTTTATGTGGGTTCCATCAATGTTTGTTCTTGTCACCCATTAAAGGGACCCCCCTGTTTATTGGGCCACACTAACAATCACAGTCACCCTCTCCTCTATTAAACATTTTTTAAAAGACTTTGTTTTGGGACCGTTCACATTCTTACTCAGTTTGCCGTTAATTGTTTTCCTACTATGTTTTCTTGTTCAGCTTTTAGAGAGGGTTCCTTTATCAACGCTCCAAGGCATTATTTTCGAGTGAAAGAGCTAACCATTTTAAACACATCATTTAACTTTTTCCTAAGACTTCACACTTGTCACTTTGTAGATCAAAATGTCTTAATCTCCATTTGTTCTTTCCATCGCATGCTTTATTGTTCAGTGATACAGCATACATTAGCATTTTAGGCAGACTAGTGCACAATTTACACAACTAGAAAGGTGATGAAGTGTAGTTGTACGGTGGTGGACAGTTACAAATTTGTTCCAATGCCACCAAACATTTCCACACAATGCAGATATAAAAAATAAGGCTGTCAAACGATTAACATTTTTAATCAGATTAATCACAGTTTAAAAATGAATTAATCATGATTAATCACCATTCGAACTATGTCCAAAATATGCCATTTCTTTATGTATATTGTTGTGGGAATGGAAAGATAAATGAAAGAAGGCGGATATATCCATTTAACATATGTATGTATGTTTATTATAACATTGTTCTGTGTGTCAAAATGAAAGACAGCCCACACACCTATCAATCATCAAACCTTTGGGTCTTATTTCATTACGTGTTGTTTTCTATCAACTCGACTCTGTCGTCCGGTGATCTTACCGCCTTCTGGAAAAGCTTCACAAGTACGTCGGTACGCAAATGCGCTTTGTGACACAAGTGACGGTACGCATTTCAAATTGTTGCCGCGCATGCCTACCAGTTATGTGCACCTAGTACTACAGCAAAAGTATTCTCCTTCGGGACTTCCTGCAACAACACCACGCCGTTATCTTGATTCTGATTGGCCAGAAGACATTATCAAAGATGTTCTATTGAGAAGACGATCACTACGTGACAAAGGTTTTCAAAACCGTTTCTAGTCTTCTGTATTTCCAGACAAGTGGCTACTGAAATCAATCTTTACTAACTGCTGGTCCCGTGCAATTCTCGCGCGGCGAGTTTGGCGACTTTATTTTGCTTACTTTAACCATCATTTCTCATGGAGGGGCATAGCCATTTTCTTTGGTATGGGTGTAGCCCTACCCCAGCCCATAACCCTGGCGCTGCCACTGGTGATGGTATGGGGACCCGGCGGCCATTCTGCATATGCGTTAAATGCGTTAAATATTTGGAACGGCAAAATTATCAAAAATTAATTACGCGCCGTTAACGCGGATAATTTTGACAGCATTAATTAAAAACAAATGTCAAAAAAGCCAAAAAAATGAAGAAACACTCTTCACCACTTGCACAGCTTTTATTAATGATGCATATACTTAAGTCTGCATATATATAATTGTGGCCGGAAGTTCAAACCAAGAACCAGGACACTCAAAGTTCCTCACCAGCTGGGACCGGGAGCGCTTTGGTGAACGTTTGGGGATGAATACAGTTTCCCCAACGCTGTCTCTGTTTGAAAAAGACTATTTTTTAGCTTGCTAGCTTTAAAGCAGATCTGCCAATGTATACCGGAAGGAATCCATGTGATCCATTTTTTAAAATGAGCCCGATATTTCATATTCTGTGCAAACTGAGTAAGGTCCACTGAGACAAATGTCAAAATGTGTGTGATAATTGGGCCTTTATAAATACACTTTGATTGGATTGAATACGAATATTTGAGATAAGTTTCTAAACAACCAGAGAACAGTGTCAACTTTATTAGATTCAGTTTGGACAAATATGACATGTGGGGTACCTCAAGGCTCCATCTTGGGGCCCAACTTCTCTTTTAACATCCAACATGCTACCCACTTGGCTCGATAATGAAAAACAACAAAAATAAGTGTACCATAGATTATGAGGAATGACAGAGACCATTTATATAACCATTTCACCAGGAGGACTATTGCTCCCAGTTCAAACACTGAGTAAGTGCCATGGACAAATCACATTGACTGGATGTGCAGAACTTTCTCCCAAATTTAACCAAAGATCAAAACTGAGGTAATGGTTTTTGGAGAGCCAAGGCAGAACGTATAAAAGTTTAGTGCCGAGCTTCCAGTCTGCCAATATTCAAAAACACGATAAAGCAGCCAGAAATCTAGGTTGTAGTCATGGACTTCTGACTGAGTTTAACAGTCACATTTAAACCGAGTTAGGTAAATCCGCTTACTTCACCTAAGAACACGCTTATCTAGGGATTAAAAGACTAATGCACAGTAAGGAGTTTGGAAAAAAACTTGTCCATGCGTTTGTATCCTTCGGTAGGATGGACTACTGTAATGGTGTCTTCAAAGGTCTCACACAAAAAATCCTATCGACTAGAAAACTGGGTGGGACTTTCGGTAACAGTTCTAAATATGTTTGAATCCTACTTAAAGGACAGAAACAACTTTGTTTCTATAGGTGCATTGTCTCTCACATCTCTCCTGTTCTCAAGTCTTTACACTGGCTTCCTGTGTGTCAAATAATTTATTTCAAAATACTGCTGCTGGTTTATAAAGCTTTGAATGGTTTAGGCCCAAAATACATTTCTGACCTACTGCTATATTATGAACCATCCAGATCTCTCAGGTCTTCAGGGACTGGTCAGCTTTCGGTCCCCAGAGTCAGAAATAAACATGGAAAAGCAGCGTTCAGTTATTATGCTCCAAATATCTGGAACAAACTCACAGAAACCTGCGGGTCCGCTGCAACTGGTTTTACTTTTAAATCCAGGCTGAAGACTTTTCTCTTTGTCGCTGCTTTTAATTGATATATTCATATCTTAAACTGCATCTTTTATTATATTTGCTTTTTAATGACTGTTTTTAAATGCCATTTTCTTAATGTCTTTCATATTTGTAATTCACTTTGAATTGCCTTGTGTTGAAAGGTGCTATATAAACTTGCCTTGCCTTGCCTTGCCTTGCCTTGCCTTGCCTTGCCTTGCCTTGCCTTGCCTTGCCTTGCCTTGCCTTGCCTTGCTTTGCCTTGCCTTGCCTTGCCTTTCCTTGCCGTGCCACCGTAATCATCAGACAACCACAAATACATTTCTACTAAACTTTAGAGTGAGTTGATGACCTTTAAACACGCTAAGTTCACTTGCACTTTAGTAAAGCAAAACAGGGTGACAGGTTGAAACCTCAGAGGGATACTCTGTTTCCTGGTTCCTCTATCTGGTTTCTCTTTTTCATGATCTGTTCCCACCACAGTGTCGCACCGGGATGAAACCACTGAGCGTGGTGGTGATGAGTGAGTGGAAGCTCTGGACTGTATCATTATGCATCTTAGATATGGAGTTCTGACAGTGTGCCCCTCTTTCCATGACATGATGGAATATATCTCACAAAGCTGTGCATCAACAAAGACAAAGAAAAGAGTATCGCCTACAGAGATATCACCCAGTCAAAAGGGAAAGACATCAGAACCAATGATAGGGGGAGAAATAAATAAATGAGGGTATTAGAGGCTACTACTCAGGAGGAACTAGTTGTTTCCGTCCCAGGTATTAGTGTCACACCTCATTGTTACATAGTTATCTAAAAAGTTATGGTGAAAATCGCCTTTGGGTTTTATTTAATGGCCGTGTTTTGTGTTCCCATAGCGTCATTTCCCCCTGTCTGTGTGTATAGTGCACAGTGTAATCACTCGCTGGTGTGAGGTGACGTAGTTCAAAGCGGCCCCTGGAAATATTCCCATCCAGGGACCCTCCATCATCCCAGCAGTGCACACGTGTGAAATTCCTGTGGGATTCAAGTGGCCTCCACCAGCTATGACGGAAGGTTGTTTAATTAGCCGCTCACTAACATGGGGGGGGGTCTCTCCCACAGATCAAAGTGGAGACCCCGCAGGACTTCCAGGATATCACCAGTGTTGTGGCTCTGGCAGGGACCTACGCCACCACCGAGCCCTTCGTCCAGTCCAAGTACGACATCCGCATCCAGAAGATCGGAAACAACTACAAGGCCTACATGTAAGAAGTGTCCCCCCCCCTCCCCCATGACTTTATGTAAGCTCAATAACCAGATATTAACGGATACCATTACAGATACCTTAAGCTGCCTATAGCGTGAATACTTTAATTTGTTTAATGATAAACCCCTTCCATAGTTATGCAGACAATGTCTTGTGTGCTGTTAAGTCACACTTACACATTTGCAGTATGTGTCTATTTCAGATTTGAAACTGTAGAAATGTATTTTTCAGCAATTTCATCACAAATTCAGATCTTTATTCGACCTACTTCTCATATGAATACGATTTTTCATTCACTTTGAACACATTTATTTGACAGTTATGAGGTTGGGTTTCATTACCTTTCTTGGTAGCAAAGTAAAGTAGTAATGCAGCTGGTGCCTGCATGTGAATCAGGCCAGTCTTAAAAATAAAAATAACAGTAAAAAGAGGCAATATGCAGCCATGGCTGATACTGATGTAATGATTTGTGTGTGCTTTCCCTTGTTTTTCATAACTTATCTTGAAACATAAGGTATCCAAAGTGGCTCCCATTATGGACGGCCAACAGGGCAACAAGATTTCTAAATCTTATCACTTACCAAAATTAGGATCATTTATTTTCATAATACTTTTTTGCCAACTAGTCAAAACGGAAGAAAAACCTTGGTTTTATAGAATGACCTCATTCCTAGATTCTCATATATATAGTATGTACTCATAGTAACATTTCTCCTTCAAACCCACCCACTCATTTGGAAGCACATTCAGCCCCCCTCCACAGTCTGTGGGGGGGGTTTACCTGACCAAAGCAGAGGAGCAGTCTCTCATTTCTCTCTCCCTGGCCTAGCCATGAAAACATGTCTTTAAATGTCTCTGACACAAACATAATGCAGGTTTGGATGGCAATAATTATCCCTGATAAACTAATGATAACCCCATGAGGTCTTGGTAAAGCGGTGCAGGCTAACCGGAGGAGCATTGATTGATTTCTTGATGTTCTTTGAATGCAGGAGAACGTCCATCTCTGGTAACTGGAAGGCGAACACAGGCTCTGCCATGCTGGAACAGATCGCCATGACGGACAGGTGAGCTCCCTCAGAGGTACACAGGCAAAACAATTTCCTGTTTGGAAAATGTACTCCTTTTTTATATTTCAAACCTTTAAAGAGGTCTCTGTTTTTGCTTAATCTCACATTCATCATTTTAACATACTGACACATCTTTTGTACAAACAATTTAACCATCCTATAAATCCTTTAGTTTTAGTTTAAGTATTATGGTTCAAGTGTATTTGTAACAGTTACTGTAGCTGCCCTTCATGATATCTCCAGACATTATGGGGTGTTTACATATGGGTGTATCAGTGAGTGGTGTCCCTGTGTTCAGATACCGGCTGTGGGTGGACTCCTGCTCCGAGATGTTCGGAGGTCTAGACATCTGCGCAGTGAAGGCCGTCCACGGGAAGGACGGCAACGACTATATCATCGAGGTCAGTTTGTTTTCAGAATAACCCCTGGTTTCAGTTTAAGATTGCACGGTGTAAAATTACAGCGCTTTCATAAAAACATTTCATGCAGCATTCCGTACATTTGCAACCTTCTTGGCAGTTCACCAGCTCGACCTTCATCTGTGCAGATCTCAGTCAGATCACCTTGGATTCCTTTCCTGCTAATAATATTTGTCATATCATTGTGAAAGTCAACAGGGAAGGGTGTAGCCAGACTTGAAGGCACATGATCATCAGAGCCTTGAAAGAATGCTCAGTTTAGACAAAACACAGGCGGAGAAAGAAAATATCAGTCAGTGACTCAGTTAACACTGCCTGTTTATTAAGAGTACATGTGAAGACTGCTCTCTACGTGCAGTTTGTAGACAAACACTGTAAATGGCTGCTGTGTGACCTGACACCACTGGTTTGGTAAGTAGTGACTTCCGGTTTGGGTTGTCCTTCTCCAATGGGATCAACATTGGGTGGTAACACTTCCTGTGTTATGGTCTGCTCCCACTCAGGCCACCTACTGGATCACATCATGTACCATTACAGTGCCTATAGAAATCACCATACCCCTTTGAAAGAGTCACTTTATTTGTCGTACAGCCTGAAATCAAAACCCATTAAAACAAATACTTTTTCCAGCTTTATTTACACATTTTGCCTTACAACATCAAACTAATGAAAAATAAAAGGCTAAATTAGAATAAAAGGGTTGCAAAAGTCATCAGTCCGCTGATTTAATACTTTGTTACAGCCATTAATCTATTTGGATATGTCTCTACTAGCTTTGCACACCTCCATTGGGGTTTGCCCATTCTCCCTTGCAGAATCCCTAAGAAACAGCTGGTTTTATTCTGAAGTGATCAAAATCACTTCACTTGATGTCAGGTGGGGGGCAGTTAGCCTGGTGTTTGATCTGAAAATTGATTGGTTGCACCTGAGCAATTTTATAATGGTAAACTCTAAGGGGCTGATCACTTAACCAAACCAGGTATTTCACAAATTCATTCACTTTGATGGTGAGGGGTATAATGTGTAAATACAGCTCCAAATAAACTGATTTAATTTATTTTAAATGTCCAGTCTGTAATGTGAGGAAACAGGCCGGTGAGGGACTTCTGGTGTGCCCTTCTTCAGCTGGAGACCATGACATCACAGCTCTCCAAACGCTGGGGGAAGTCAGCACCGAGAGAATGTGCTTCTTTATTTAAACTCAATGTCAGGAACTATCTCCCAGCTCCTCTGAGACGCTGGTCTTAGATTGGCACTGCTTGGATGGAGAAACTGGTGACAGTCACATAACAATGTTCTGTGTCCACAACTCTTCCTCCTCCTCCTCCTCCTCCTCCTCCTCCTCCTCCTCCTTCAGCATGATGGAATTTAATTAACAAGCAAGGAAGAGCTGCCGGTCCATCACAGTGGGAATCTGTTTTCTGTTCCAGACAAAGACATCAGCCATGACACTTCTCTCTAATGAAAAGTAATCAGCTGCTCAGGGGCCCTTCATTAACAGTTTGCTATTAACATGAAGCAGCTCCCTGGCCCTTCACTGGAACATGTTCCCACAGTACAGACATGAGATCCCTCAACACGACACAATATGACGAGTAACATGACAATTGAAAATCAACATGACATGAAATGACATGATGCAACACAACTGATATATACCGTAATAATAATAATAATAATAATAATAATAATAATTCATTACACTTTTTATCTAGTTTTATTACATGGTTTGGTTGAAAACTCAATTCTGTTTGGTCCCTTTGGACATTTCAGAGGTTGTTAATTCTCGATAAGAAACCGTTGCTAAGCAAAATAATGGCCATTGATAAGTAGGATCAAGGGAGAGAAAGGGAAAGAGCGCTGGACGTCATGCCATTATAATGCGTAATAAAAATGCAGATACATTCACTTCAAATAAGCCAACCCATTACCAGGTCTTATGCATTAGTCTGAACAGGTTCAAATGAGATTCAACATTAAGAAATTTTATAGCAGAACTTACAGTAAAGAAGTCTTGATTATCTACATGTTTAAGCACACTTAGTTATATGATATACTTACTAAAGTTATTTTAAATATAAATAATACAGTCTCAAAATACACTAGCACAGGTAAGAGTCCTGCATTTAAAATGCTAATAGTACAAAAGTAATCAGCTCAATTAAATGATGTGTTCCTTAAGAACAATGGATCCTTTTGAAATGTTGTATGTATATGCTAGAGCCAATTTCAGATACTTGGTAATATACCACTAGGTAGATAAGTAGTAAAGGGCTGAACCACTTCATATAAACATATTCTCATGACAAAGTTATAAATGTTGTTGAGTAGAAAGTACACGATTACCATGAAGTGGAATAAATGATGCAGCGAGGTACTGTGCAGACAGATCACTGTGCAGCTCAGTAAAAGTGCACAACAACACCTCTATGTACCGCGCTGAGAGGCTGGCCGCTGCAGTCCTCTGCTGGATGACTCTGTGTCCTTATAAATCAGCAGGGTGGATCCCACCGCACGCCCTTTGAAGTGGCTCTGCTCCGTCCCTGTGGTAGTGACTCAACGGGCCAAACACCGGGCCACGCCCCGCCTCACCACCGAAACCTGGCCCAGAGGCTGCTCACAGGGAAGGAAGGGCTGTAAGGGTTCTCTGCTATGGGTAGTGGTTCTGTTTAGAACAGTGTGAACCTTAATCACACACTTTTCCGAAAAATAGCAGGAAGAAAGTAAGAAACCATGGCACATTGAAACACAGTTTGAGAAGACTCTGGATTCATGTCTTTCTTGCATGCAGGAAGGGTTTCACTGAAGGAGACCTTCTCATTGATGGTTTGGCTAGCTCTTACCAAAATCTATGTCATCTTTTATTGGACGGAACTTGTATATACTTACCATCGCATAAACACCATATCCCAGCGTGCATTGCGGCTAAACCATCCACTCACTGAGCTGAGGATCTTGCCTATGTCTGTTTCCGGTATCGTTTATCACCGATATATTTTGTTATACACAAATTCCTTCACATTTAAATTTAAATTTACATTAAAGTATTTCGCGAGGCCTTCTAACATGTTTTTAAATATAACTACGGTTGTAGTTGAAGAGTTTGTAAATTAACATGAACCGAAGCTGTCTATTAAAAAATAAATCATTATTATATTAATATTGACAATAACAACCTACCGTTGGGGTAGCATTTGCTTGGCATTTCTGGTTATTCCTCCACTGGCTAACATGGGTAAACAATACCGTGTAACTGTCATGTTTGAAGGGACGAAATCGTGACATCTTCACGTCTCCCAGCATGGTAAATCGTCACATGTTCACGTCTTGCCGTGATACCGGGTTGCTTCTGACACTATGAGTCTGATAACCACTGATCAAGCTCATTTAATAGGCTGATAACATTCAAACCAGTTGGATTTGATGTTTCCAAACCAGTTGGATGTGAATTGATCTTGAGGGACGAACTCATTGAATTGGTGTCCCTAACAAACAAGAACTTTAAAAGAAAATGGGAATGCCTTTCAGAGTGCAGAGTGTTTTGATCCCTGAAGGCGGTCAGAAGCACATGCAGTGTTCTGCTCTGTGAACACTGTGTATACCCGTCTCTGTGTTTACAGCCTGTGGGCGAGGAGCAGCAGCTCCTCCACCCTGGGCCTCTGTGACCCGGCCAGCAGCCCCCCCCCTCTCTGCTGTTTGTTTTGGTCCTGGGGAGGCAGGTCTCTAGAGCCCATGTGCTCTGTGGTTCTGCAGAACACGTGTGTGTGTGTGTGTGTGTGTGTGTGTGTGTGTGTGTGTGTGTGTGTGTGTGTGTGAGCTCAAGTGGTGGGATTTTTCTCTTTGAGGCTAATTATTAGTGTATGGCGATGGATGTGGTCTGGGCTTCCAGATCTTACCCCGGGCAATATCATATTTACAGATGGAGTCACTTTTCATCTACTGCTCTCGGCTTTACCCATCAGAGGATGGCACAAAGAAACAGTTGTCATTTTAAGAGGTATGATTTATGTGTTTCAGTATACCATGTAATGTATCTACTGTCAATCAAGCTACACCTCATGTCCAGCTGCACATGCACAGTAAACAATTATAGTTCTCCGTTTACTTTGATACGGTATCCGAGGATTTAAAACAGTTCAAGTTGTTATCCTATTCTACCCTGTTTGTGTCAGTGTTGTGTCCATCTGCATGCTCTCAGACCTCTCATTAAAAGCTGCCCTACAGTGTTTGTTCCATCTCCATTGGAGGATTTAGGAGGACAGATCCAGGACAAGGGGCTTTCTGAGCTGTATTACAGTGCATGGGAACAAACAGAGGAGTCAGTGTCATGCTCAGTGCATCCGGCACTAAATGATATTAAAGGCCAGTGGAGTGTTTCATAGCTTATATTGTCTAACCTCAACAATGGCAAATGACTGTGGGGAGTATTGTTGTGTATGTGATCTGTGTAATATGACTCATCATTGCTGGCAGAGCACCACATCTCCAGCAATTCTTCACATAACAGATCTGATGCTGCCCTCTGGTGGACAGTAAGGGAGTTTCAGTTTAACATAGAGAGCATCCAGGACCTTGATTGGCTGTTTTTGTGTGTGTGCAGGTCATGGACAGCTCCATGCCTCTGATTGGTGAGCACGTGGAGGAGGACAGACAGCTGATCACAGAGCTGGTCCTCAACAAGATGGCCGAGTTGCTGCTGGGGGTCTCCACTCCTCAGCCCTCTGCTGTCAAGGTACATCAGAACATAAATCACACCAGCTCACTTCAGCTGAAAGGAAACAGGAAATAAAAAACGCTTTTCAGACCCCTGGATATTTTTATACAGCCCTCATTTTCAGTTGAACTCCCTCCTGCATTCACGGGGCTACCACTGAGGTGTTTTGTATTTCTTAGTATTGTTTAAACATGGCACCAAAAAAGATAGTAAAAAGAAAATAGGTAGCAGGGCCAGAAAAACCCTTACACATGGCTGCAAATGGCAGCTTTATCAGATCAACTACCTGGCCTTGCCTTCAGTTACAGAAGACGATCTGTCACAGAAGACCACATAAGAAAATAAATTTGAGATCTGAACAAAAATTAATTTTATCCTAGGTCTGAGATTGAAGGTGGGGTACTGTAGCTAAGTTTGAGAAACCGGCTCGAGATACACTTTTTGTTATATTCCATGGAATGCTCTTAACATCCCGATAGCAATTAATATCTTAAGTGCTTTGACAAAAAATACCATTAAAAAATGTCATCTGTGGAAGCCGTAATACTGTAAAAAGCACGACCAATCATCTGAGCCGGCCCGGCTAAAGTAACTGGATGGCCTACCTGCCTGTCAGCCTTCCATCTGTGCACAAACTTATCTCGTGCCCTCATTGGTCATGTGCGCGTTCGTGTGTTTTGGAGGAATTGGAGTATTTTCAAATTCTAGCGCACTCAAGCTGGTTTCTCCAAAATTACCTACCCCACCTTTAAAGTCAGAATTTTTAAGAACAAACGTTCTAACTGATTTCTCAAAATGTTGATATTGTTCACAGAATTGTGACTTTACTCTCAGAACTCAAAATAAAAGTAATATTTGGTCTGATCTAAAAAGGCCCTAATCCTCTTCCTTAGTAAGTAAAACTGTTAAAGAAAAAAGCTAATCTGGGGTTAGAGTGTTTTTTTACTAATTCAAGTTAAGTACAGCAGTGGAGTGGAGTGTATTTCAATGTGACCACCTACGGCATTATAAACATTGAAGTGTGTTTCTGGTTTTGAAGTAGCATTCATGTTCACAATGAAAAATATGATTGAACCGCTTCTACCTCGCTAATGTTTCTACTTTTACTTAACTGTGACCATATCTTATAATGCTAAAATTGAAAAGGCTACTCACACCAAGAAGTTTAACTCTTCAAGATGTTGTTTTGCATTTGTACATATTGTTTTAAGAGTGTAGTGTTTATGTGAAGCAGAATGACAGGAACATTACCATTAACTAGAACATTTTAACACGCATCCACTGTACTGATACCCCTATATCATTCTTCATCCACAGACCACTCAGCCCAGACGAGGTAGGAGATGTATCTATTTTGTTTATTACAGCAACAGAGTTCTGTCTACAGCAGTGTTAGTAAAAGTCCAACCAGTCTACATGAAAATACTGTGTTTTCACTGCAGGGGGACAACGATCTGCTTCCGCTTCTCCATCTCAGTCGGCCCAGGGCTCCCCTCAGAGAGCCCGCTCAGCCTCCACCTCCCCCAGCCAGGCCTTCCAGCCCGGGCCCATCCCTGCCGCCTCCGGGCCCGGAGCTCAGAAACAGTCCCCCCAGCTGAAGTACGTCCCTCACAGCACACCAGCATGATCCATGATAGCAGAAGTATAACATTTAATTGACTGTTTATTTTAACCACTGCAGCAAATCCCAGTCGCTGACCAACACCTTCACAGAGACGTTACGAGGAAGCCTGACCGACGACGAGGCCAAGGCCGAGACCATCCGCAGCCTGCGACAGTCCTTCGCCAGCCTCTTCTCCGACTGAAACCCCCCTAGAAGCTTCCTCTTTCTGTCTGTGGTCAGGTTTGGGAAACAAGCCCGACTGGTTCATCTCTAATGGAGTGTCCCTGCTCCACATAGCTCAGCTTCCTTCTCTCTCCTTCTCAATATTGTGACGTTTAACACCTGGTGCAACCCGCTATCCTCAGATCAGTCATTCATCTATCACTAGAAAGGCCAACAGGTACTGGGGGGGACCACAAAGGCTAAGAATCCACATCCACCACAGTGCGGAATCAAACTCATGATTATTATGTCTGTTTTATCTCTGCTGTAATGCCAGTTATGAACGTATACAGAAATAGATCAATATAAACATCAGTCCAGTCCTCCTTATACCCATAATCCTTTCTGTTTTCATAGAACAGCACTGATGTGAATGCCTCCTAGGGTTAGGACAGCAGTCAGCTGATGGCTTGTCCTTTCTAGTGGTAAATAATCATAATCTAGCTCATAATGCTTGGTATTTATAGTCGTTATTCTACATTCTGTTTGTCCAACCAGTGAAACTGTTCTTTATTGCGTCATGTTTTATCGGTTTGAATATGTATTTATGAAATGAAATGAGTTCTAACTACTTTAATTGACTCACAGCTTCCACACTGTTTGCGGATGTATACGGCAATATTCTTATCTGAAGCTGTTCCGGTTAACTCATGAAAAACTGAATCCTCACGGTTCACCAGCGTTTTTGAGCATCTTGCAAGCAGCTACATTTCAGAAATCCACGTGCTGTAGACACACATTGGCTTATGTTGTGACTCCACATTACCAAAGTGCTGTTTAAAAAAAAGAAAGAAAATCCCCCATGCACTGGGTCCAGAAAACAGTCCCACAGCGCAGCATCCTTTGAGCTTGTGATTCCACGAGGTGCAAAACGCTGACCTGCCTTCCAGCCGCCGTCTTCCACCACAGCGCAGACCCCCACCCCAGCTGCTCCTCTTTCTCCAAATGCTTTGTGTAATGTTTTGTGCTTTGTGAATAGCAACGTGGTGTATTTTCTGCAGGGGATTTGGAACATAACTACTGCTGTGTGTTTAATGGCGAACTGTGAGGAGGTGATATTTTGAGACTTTTAATGTGCTTACATTTCCACTGAGACGGAAAATGTTTTAGTTGTGTAACATTCCATCTTATATCTACATTAGCCTTTATTCTCTACATTCGATAATAATTTATCATAATTTTTGCGTTTTTTGTCAAATGGTGTGTATGCATCCAAAGCAGACATCTTCCTCCACCCAGTGTCGCATCAGCATGTAAATGTTCTGTGAATGTCATACTGTATGTAGAATCTAATTCATGTTTTCAGAAACCAACACAAGATAATGATCTCAAGTACTCTATAAAGACAGCAACAGCATGGAAACACTTGATGTTATCTGTGATCATGCAAACCCTACTGTAATTTAGTGCAAATTATAGCAAAATACTATGTATTTATATGGCGTAGGTATCCAAAACAGGAAATTGACCATCTAAAGTATAAGCAGTTTTTAATTGCAGTGTACTTTAACTGCTTTAAAGATGGGATGTGCAAACAATATAGTGTAGACTTGATAGAAAAGGTTTCACCATTTTGATTTAGATAAAAAATAGTACTATAGTACCATCTATACAATATCAATATCCCTCATAATTAGCACTAAATCATGTATTTGACAAGGTATGTGAACTTTTTTCTTCTTCAAGGATGTCATTAGAAAGCCAACGTAAAAAGAAGTACTTCCTTGTTACATCCAAGGTGTAACAGTTTGATGTTTACAGGAGACTGGCGGTATATTTGGCTTTCCATGCAGAGAACAATCACAATCTGATAATGTTTCAATTATTCTGCATGATCTGTGCTACAGACATATAAGATATGTTTCCCTGAACAATCTATATTGCCTTATATTTTTTGTCTAAATATCCCAAACACAAATAATACCTGTGAGCAGTGCCCAGCAGTTTAAATTGGGTTTTTGTTGATCATTTCAAAGGATCAATATGATAACAGTAATTCAAATGAAATAATGATAATAGTACGTATGACATCAATTCCCTTTGGTTTAGGGTACATTTTATTGAAATGCATGAAGCTGTTAAAAATATGTATAGTGATGTGTGTGTGTGTGTCTGTGTGTGTGTGTGTGTGTGTGTGTGTGTGTGTGTGTGTGTGGGTGTGGGTGTGTGTGTATGTGTGGGAGTATGTGTGTTTGTGTGTGTGTAAGTGTGTTAAATTCAAGAAGTAAATTGGCCATAATGATGAATTGAATACTACCACAAAATGAAACTGCCCATTATTGCAATAATTTAGCTCATAATATGTTTTCTGCAGTTTTGATTTCAAGCTATGAAGTGTCACACTAAAGAAAAGCTGTTCTGTTTCCAAGCTTTTATTTGCTGTTTTGTCAGTCTCACTCACATTGAGCTTAAGGGGCATTTGAGTGTTAGCTTAACAAAACACACACTACAGTGATTCTTAGCAACAACTGACAAAGTAATGATAGGGACTGTAGTTTCACTCCTACAACAGGTTGCTTTGGAGGGAAAATAATCTAGTGGAGGGAGCCACAGAATCACAGTTTTTGACCAGGTGACTGACCATCTGCTAAGCCCCACCCTCTTAGAAACCGTTGCTACCTGTCAGCTCCTGCCTTGTATATATGCTGTTTACAATGATAAAATTAAAAATTGTACACCATTTATATTTATTTATGTATTATGTATGTATTCAGTAAGCCTAAGCTTTTCAATGAAATTACATCTCATGGCTGAATAAGCTAGCTTTAGCTCGATTAGCTCAGAATGCCGTCTCGATCACCACTGTCATTAAACCATTTTAGCGGACAAATTTCCCTATAATCTACCCACTTGCGACAATTCAAGGACTCACTGAATATTAACGTATTAAAGCATACAGAGTTAACGTTGCTAAACTAAGATTTGCAAACGCTGTTTAGCGGAGGGGCTTAGTAAATGATCGATTAGCCTGCTCACCTTCCAAAAAACGGAAGTGTGAGCTAACCACACTGAATCTGATTCTGCTCGCTTCATTGTGCTTGTGTCCTTTTATTATGACTTTTGCAAACGTTTCATCACCTTTGGCAATGTGTCAAAATGGACCAAATGAGCATTTCATTGTGAGACTAATTGAAGGTTTAAATTATACTGTTATTTTTATTGTAAAGATGCCTACAACTTAGTTTGTAATACAGCAGTGTTATAAGCCATAACCTAACCACAAGGATTTACTATCCCTGCCACGCAATAATGGCTGTGATGTAACTGATAACTGATGTGTTAACCTGAATCACTGAGTCTCGTAACTCTGAGTCCATTACGAGGCCTTCCTTGACCCGCAGAGGCAGTAACTGTCTGATTTCAGATTAAAATCAAGAGAAATCACACCACATAGTTTAAATGTGTGCTTCTAGAACTTCTGTCGGATGAAAGAAAACTTTGATGTCACTTTTCTGAGTTTTGTTGGGTTTAAAAATGCAGTTCAGGATCCAGTAAATGCCATACCCATCTATAGAGTGCCACAGTGACGCGTCCTAAAACCCGGAAGTAAGCTGCACATGGGTTCCTTCGACAAAAAAGCAATGCAATATCATAAATCTATCGATCATAAATCTATCGATTAGATTTATGATTCGAAAATGATAAAAGTAGGGTAGACATGTGGATATTATCCGGCTGAACAAAACATGATCCGTCTCTTAAATGTCTGTCAACCACAGACCTTATTTCCAGCTATTTTCCAAAATCCTATGGACAAATTGCACTGGTTTTTTGTCGTAGGAACCCATGCGCAGCTTACTTCCGGGTTTTAGAACGCGTCACTGTGGCACTCTATTGGGTCAGATTCTAATCAATGACTATACGTCTATTTACATTTTCCACATGTTCTATTATATTTATTTATCGGCAGATAAATGTTCTCATTAAAGGTCCCATGTCATGCTTTTCCGGTTATTACCCGTCCCCTTGTGTGTTCTGTAGCTTCTGCATGTAAACGGTCTGCAGAGTCACAAACCCTCCAAGTAAACCCTGTAGCGAGTAAAACTCTAACACAGAAAATACCTGTCTATGCTGCCCCAGAACGCCTCGTTGGAGATTTCTCTTTTTCCATTGTTTTCTTCCTGGGTACTGTGCCATGCCCATACCCAAATGGACCCATTGGTTCAAATGGACCAATCTGTGGTGCCGTTACGTTACATCACACACACACACACACACACACACACACACACACACACTCAATCTTTTCTCAGCTGCAGGAGCTCCATCAAGCCGTTTAGGATAGAGAGTGAATAATACACATACTATACAGAGATGCTGAATGAGAAACCAATGTGATTTTGGAACATTGAACAATGTAAATATATTCTAGTAGACCTCAACAATGGAATTATGATCAGTACAAATGGCCATGACATGGGACCTTTAAGCCAATACATTTTCACAAGCCTTGTACTTTTTATGTGACTCATTTGAACTGAGATGTAAAGTTGGCTAGTAACTACCTCAAGTTCAGCAGTGCTCAGCAGAAACGGACTAGTAAGTGGTAGTACTGGAAAAGATTTTGTGAAATGAGAACTCTATACTATAGTATGGCTGAAAAAGGGGATTAGAAATAGCTCCGTCAGACTGTAGGTAAACTATGGTGTAATGTCTGTGACATCAACCTAATGAGGATCTAGACAGCATTCTACCCATTGCACTCATGTGTGTATGAAAATAACTGGACTATAAGAACCCATTTTTTTTTAAATAAGGGCTATTTAAATGTTCATATAGTGAAGTAAATAAAAAAAGAAATATATATATCCGCTGATTCGCAGATATTTCTTTGCCAATGTTAATCTTTTAGGAAAGTATTTAAGGGTCTCACTGGCATCACGTGACGCAGATAAAATGTCTTGGTTTAGCTAATACGAAAATTAGCTTAAAGCCTCACATTTTTCTGGGGGCTTTGTACTCATTGATGCAAAGGGGACAAATATCCCAAAGGTCATTTGTTTGACCACATTAACACGAGCCAGGTGTTATTACATTTCCAAGCAATTAGGATTCGCCACATTTTTTTCTTTTCAGTTTTGTTTAAGTCCAGGTGAAGCTTATGTATTAAAGCTGCCATTTGTAGTCATTATTTTTACCAATTGGGGCCCAGTAAACATTTGTGCCCGGGGCCCTCCAGCAGGTTTATCTGGCCCTGGTACTTTCGTCTTTGGTGACATGTGGTACGCATAAGAGGGGCATGTTTAGAAGAAAACTATCCATTCAGAAGATGACATTTATTCAAAATGGGTTTCTTTTCTTATTTTATCTTTTACAGATTTCCCTGCCTTAACAGCGACCACGCTTCCTCTCTGAAAACTCATACCTTCCTAATTTATCTTTAAAAGGCTGTTTATGTCACAGATGCTGCATCCATTGTCAGTGTGCTCATTTCATCCAAAATCTTTGAGAAAGAGTTGCATCACTTCACCCCATCTTTTCATTTCACTCATGATTTCAGTTAAATTCCACGTATAATAGGAGAAAATGCAATACTCTGTTTTAAAATACCTTTCTCAGATAATATATGTTTGAGTCACAGGCTAAACTATGTTTTGAACTAATAAACAACCTGAATTGAATATGCAGCAACAGAGACTTTCCATTAAGCTAATTCCGCAAGGATAACCAAGTCCACTTCAAATGTGGCATTTGTAAAGAGATATAATGTCTTTGCTCTGGTTTATTTGCCGATGCTTCAGTCCACCGTGTCCCTTCCTCTGGTAAATGATGGGTGGTATTGTTTGGTATTTAAGTGTTTTATTGTCCCGTATATCTGTGTAAATGTGGCATGAAAACCAACCCCTCCTGCCTCAGGTGTGTACATTTGGTCGTCATGTGATTTTAATGTCTGGCTGCATAATTGTGAGACGGGTGAAGCATCTCATGGGTTACTGTAATTTATAAGTATAAAGATAATTTTGTTTTCTGTATTTCTGTTATTTTGTCTGAAAATCAAGAATTCTGTTATTAAAGGTAACAACTTTTATTACACCTGTGGTGCATTCCAATTTCTGTCAGTCATCCACAGCGATCCATGAGAGTATTTGAAAGTTTTCTCCTTTTATGGTAATTCTAACAGATGCTCTGGCTCTTTGTCTACTTTTAAAAAGTTCTGTTTGAATCACGCAACTTTCAGAATATGTGGTGAAAATCTCAAAATCCCTTCATCTTGGAAACGAGCGTATTTAATTCCTGCTGGCATGAAGCTTGGGGTGTTAAAAGCAGACTGGCAGCACGAGGCCACGGGGGGAGGAAACCTGCCGCCTTTAGTGTGCTGCCCATTCAATGTCAAGCTTTCAAAGGAGGTGTGTTAGGCACTCATGTAACAGAGGTAATATGAAACATATTCAGACAGAGTATGTCACTGCATGCACAAATTATTACTTTTCAAACAATGGCATCAGCACATAGATATTTCTGAGACTACTTCATGTCTGAATCATGTACCCATAAAGTTTAGTTGTTGCACACATTCAAAGAGGCCCTGTCATGCTTTTTGGGGTGTTCCCTTTTCTGTAGTGTGTTGTGCATGTAAATGGTCTGCAAAGGCTAAAATCTCTGTTCCTTCTACAGTTCCTCCCTGCCTGACACACCGCCATTGGACTCCTTTGTTTACTTCTGTAACATAATGACATCACTATGCAAAGGCCCTGACACACCAAGCAGTCACCAGAGAACTCACCGACGCCGACTGTTGCGTCGGCGTGTTCTCCTGTGTCTTGGACATGTGTCGCACTGGAACACACCGCAAAGACTTCAGCCAAGCACGTACAAACTGTGCATGGTGTGCATTCCATTTTCACTCTCGTCCATCGAAAACATGTTTTGTGCGGTACTGGAGCTATCAGCCATTGGAGTGTTGCTTGTGGAAGACATTCTCAAGCAACCGTTTCATCTCATGCACTGATTCGCTAGCTGTACAGCCAATCAGAGTGATTTCTTTGTCCGACTGCCTTCAAAAAAATTTGAATCGGCCGTGTGTCGGCCATGAAAGACCAAATAAGGCGTGTCACGGCCGACGGTGCGGGACACACCAAATTGAGTTTGGGCGACAGGGCACGCTTCGTCGTCCGACTAACGAAAACGGCCGATTTCGGCCTGGTGTGTCAGAGCCTTAACACTTGCGATTCTATTGACTAGTGAGTCAACACATTGTATGTGATAGCCTAAAGGGCGAGACACCTCTACGCAGTTGACCAATCACAACCGAGCCGGCCAGCTAACCAATCAGAGCAGATTGGGCTCTGGTTTCAGACAGAGGGTGAAAAGAGGTGCTGCAGCACAGGCAGTATGAGAAAAATAAGGAGCTTTTTGAACATTAAAGCATGGAGACATGTCACAGTAGAGACACTACATACTAAAATAAGCAGAAAAGGGCCCCTTTAAAGGAGAATCTCTGACCCACTACAACACACTTAGCCCGGCTAAGTGTGTTGTAGTGGGTCAGAGATTCTCCTTTAAAGGGGCCCTTTTCTGCTTATTTTAGTATGTAGTGTCTCTACTGTGACATGTCTCCATGCTNACATTATATATATATATATATATATATATTTCTATTAATCATTTTTGGCCTTTCGGCATTCGGTTTTCGACCAACTGTTTCCTATTTTCGGTATCTGTTTCGGCCAAGAATTTCCCATTCGGTGCACCCCTACCTGAGACATAGTCTCGTAAAAAAACTGTGGGAGGGGTCCACTGGGGGGACCCTCGGGCTTAAGAAGTTAAGGAAGCGTGCCATCCCTAATGTTAACCGTGCAGAAGTAATATCATGTCTACTCTAGCTTGAGAAAATACGTTATGGGCTGTTTATCAGTCGGCGCAAAAGAAAAACGTTACAGCCATCTGCAGCAAGAGGAATATTTTGAATATTTGTTATCCTCTGACAGTGTTAGAAAGTAACAAGGTACATGTACTCAAATACTGTCCTCACGTACAAAATGTGACAAACTAAATGAGCTAGTAGGCTACATATTGCTTTCTAGTTCATTATTTTTAAATCCAACGTGAATATTACAAAAATAATAAACATTTACTCAGCTCTGCATAATTATGATCTTCTTTCATATTAAAAAAAAAGGGCTTTCTATTTTCATCAATTGAATTTGATAAAGATCCTCTAGGAAGCGATTGTAGCTTATATAGCTTCATTGAAGTTCATATTTGGTGGGGTGAAAACACAAACGCTGACGCTGTGTTGATGCTTTCGGAAGTGGCCGTGCTTAAATCTAAAGATAGACGGGATAACATCAAATAGTATAATAATATTGCGTTACTCAAGTGTATCAACACATCTTCTTACATCACTAGCAGTATTGTGTATAATTAACCAGACTGACTGACTGGAGGAGTTTAAAGAAGCACATATAGTTTTCCTGTCAGCTCCATGGGATGGAGAAAGTTCCCTGCCTTTTCCAATGAGTGAGGGGATCCTGTAGTGAAACCGACTGGGAGCCTTATCAATCATTGTAGATACAGTTAATACATTAAAAAGAACACATTTACAGCAGGATACTTGTATGATTTGAACCGTAAACAAACACT